TGTGAAGAGAATGCAACCCTGAGCCGGCAGAAGAGGGCAATGCTAGACGAGTGCAGCTATATGTTTTCCTTACGAAGTATCTGAATGAGTGCGACAGTGATGCAAGGCTCACACGTACAAGGGGAAAGTGGTGACAATCTGCACACCGCCCATACAAATGTCACCAGTTTTGTCACCAGTTTTGAAGTGACCGAAACCCGCGGTTTCACCAGATTTTTCACCACTTTTGGCTGGCAGGGATGTACACGACACATTTACAAAAACAGCACTCAAGTACACAATACATTGACAAAAACAGTACTAGACTGTCTCCATTGTGGAAGAATACAAGTGAGATACCTTAGGGTTGACAGATAGTTGACAGGGTGTTCAATATGGCGATGACAGTGTGAACAATATGGCAGCCAATATGGCATACAACACCGAATGGCCCGAAGTTGCAAAACTACGACCCGAATGAAACACTTCGTGAAAATCCAGGGTTGCGAAGTGGTATTTTCTTGGTAAATATAAAAGCCAGGATTTTGTGCAGCGCCGAATTTTAACAAAAGAGGGTTTTGTGTGCTCAAGATAAACAGAAAAGGGTTGCTGTGCTGTTTCGCTTTAAGCTTATTTTAATCTTAACGTATCTAATTAAATATTAAAAGGAGACAAAAATTAAAGCAAATTTTTAAAATATATGTACATATCTGAAAATTTTAAATAAAATATATATTTTCACGAGAGACAAAGTAAATAAAATGGGTTGACTTTAGGGGAAATATACTTATCAGATTGGTTTAGATAGCGCTTTTACGTTATAAATAAAAATAATTCCTACTTAAATTTTATATAGTTTTGGTGACGTATTTCTAAGCTGACCCCGAGATCTCTGAAATAATGCATATTTATGTGCATATATTGTGTTGATTATTCTCCAAATCGCTAAATAATTCTTGCAGCAATCAGCACCATTGGACATTTTCAGAAAGTAGAAATAAACTAAATTAAATTTATTCAATTATTAATAAAAGAAATTGGAGACAAACGTACAATCTGGGACGATGTTTTCCGCATCCGCAAACGAATGTTTGTTTGATGAATTAGGTTATTGGCCTGGCGTCTAATGAAGCATTATCGTCATGATTAATGTTCAATCTCCTTTTTTATTAACTAAATCGGTTTCTTAAACAAATTTCTATTCAAATATTTTTCTTTTTTGTTTTTCAATTTACTCCACCGCATGGCCGAGAAGCCATTTTGAGACAGAAACTAAGTATATAAAATAATTCAAAAATAAGCGATTGCTTTTTCTTAAAATTTCAAACCTTTTATTTAGATTTGGTTGAACAAATCGAATAAAAGGTCTGAAATTTAAAAAAAAGCAATTGCTTATTTATTGTCGAACAAAACGTCTGAAATTTTAAGAAAAGGAAATTGCTTATGTATTATTCCTAAGGCTCATTGTTGTGTTCTGCAGTATTTTTGGAAAGCTTTGAAAATCTTCAAAAATATGTGATACATTTTTAAAATGAAAATATTACCACTGTCTAAATTAAAGTGAAATTAAAAAAATGTATTTTTATAAAACAAAAATTGAATGTATAGTAACTTTTTGCGCATAGTAATTGTTACCATTTCAACAGTTAAATAAAATGTCTAATGTATGTTGTTAAGAATCAAAAGGCTCTATTACCTTGTTTATACCGACACATAAGGCGCTTTGACCCAGTTCGCTGTGATTCAAAACGGATGCATAAACTAAATTTCAAAACGCGTTGAAATTGAAAAGTGTGTTGACTTCTATTTGTTTTCAAATCGGTTTTTTGTTTCTCACATCAGTTAGAAAACAAGTATAAACGCATCACTCATTTGAAGTGAAGTGACAATAGGCTGGTTTTCTTTATACAGCCCGTTTTAAATTCGAATTATTGTTATAATAAATTACAATCATTGTTTGTTTCCATTTCGGTCAACCGCGAAAATTATTTAAATGAAAAAAAAAAATGTAAATTAAAAAAAAAATGTCGTTTAAAAATAGATTTTGTTTACTTTTGAATAAGACTTTATCGAGTGCGCTATAAAGACAGGGGTATATATGCTGTAAAGGAATATATGTTGAGTCCAATCGGTTTTTTGCTAATGCGGTTCTTGTGTGGGTATAAACAAGGCATGATTCAATAACAAAAGGTTTGCTCAAAAAACAGTTTTCTCGCTCCCTCTTGACAAAATCGGCTCCCTTAGCAAGCCACTGTATGTAGGTTCGTGTGTGTGTGCAAAGCTTTTGTAAGGGAGCTAAGGGAGTGTCAAAACTCTAATGTCACTAACGAGCAAACCTTTAATTATTGAATCATGTAAACAAGGTACACGAAAAAAATTACTTCTCCATGAAAAATATTGTTATTTTCTTATTTAAAATTAATCGGAATTTTATGGGGGGTTATAAAAACTCGTTTTAATCGAAACTTTGTTTTTTCGGCTATATTTGTTATTATTTATTGGCCCAGATGAAAATATTGAAGGAACTAACATATTTTAGATATTGACGGAACTACCATTTGTATGCAACCCTGCCTATCCTATATTCAAGTAGATGTAATTCGAAAAATGTAAACGGATTTCTTCAAATCAACCTGAGCTGCGGATATATCGCGAATTCATTTTTAAACATTAACCACTACATTATATTAGTATTAAATACTTTCAATTAAGAAACAATTATTAGAAAATAATTATGAATCATTATATTTTAAATATTCCAATGTATAGTTTTTGTTAATGCAGATAGTGCAGATTTAACGTATTTTATAACCGTTACATGGGGAACATAAATTTAAGGCAGCTTGCTATTAACAATTTTTACACAATTTACGATTGCAATCAATTTCTTTCAGAACTATAACCTAAATGATTGCAAGTTGTATTTTTTACGATCAAAACAGATTCCAATATTAGGTATATTATGCAAATGCAATCCAATTTGATTTGAGTTATTCAGTTTTAGATACATTTATATTTCTGTGTTCGTATGGAACAGTGTTGCCAGAACTTTCTGGGTCGACCGGCTAGATTGGCAAAAAAAAGCGGCTAAAAACGGCTAAAATGTTTTAGTGAAATTTCACATAGACTCTGGCAAAAAACGGCTAAAATGTTTTAGTGAAAATTCACATGCTTTATTTAAATAAATCGCAAGAAACGAAAGACTAGTTAACACCATTAATTTATATCGAGTGTATATTCCTCATCATCAAATGAATCACTATTATATATATATCCTGAATTCTTTAATTTTAAGAGATCGTCATCTACAGTAAAATTATGGCAGCATTTTTCTTCACGTTTTAAACCGTATCTTATATATAAAATAGCGTTTAACGTTTTAACGCACATTGGATTTCTTTGCTTAGTTTTTATTATATTCATTGAACTAAATATTCGCTCTACTTCTGCATTACTTATAGCCAAAACAAGAAAACTAAAAACTAGGTTGCAAAGGTCAGCAAAAGGGTTTTCTCCTAGGGCATTTCGAAATTGATAAACTTCGGCCCAAAATTCTACAGTTGAGTCTAAATTACTCCAGGTATGTAACGTTATCCGTTGCCATTGCATCTCTATGGATGTTATTTCGTCGGCATTATATTTGTGTTTTTGTTGCTGTAGTTGAACAAATACTTTTGGTTTAATTACTCTTAATGCATTTCCAACCGAAAAAAGTAAATTTTTTTTAGTGTGGCAATATTTGTAGGGAGGCGTTGGCGTAATTCCTTTATTAAAGTGATAATAAAATAGCGACCATTTTCTCGAATTATTTTCTCGGCTTCGTGGTCAAAAGCATTTGTGCTTACTTTTGTTTTTAAATACTCTTCAAAACTGTGATAAAACTGAGGAAATGGAGCAAGGTATGGTTCCAACGGGGAGCATATAGGATCAAATGTGTCCGCGCTAATAACCACTAGGGAGCATAGATGCGAAAGTAAAACATTGAGTTCATTAAAAATCTTCATTGGGTCTGCATTATTGCTTTCGAACAACTTGTTTACTTTTTACACCTGAAAATTAGGCAAATAGTAAAATCGGCTAAAAACGGCTAACTCTTTTTTACAAACCGGCTAACAAATCGGCTGCCGGCTAGATCGAATTTTCTCCGGCTAGTTGCTATCAAAACCGGCTAAATCTAACCGGAAAACGGCTAAAATGGCAACGTTGGTATGGAATAGGAGTTTAAGTCGGGAAGCTGGCTTTAGTATAATCCGGCATTCCCTTTAATATTTACAACACAAGGAATTTTTCGATGACCCTTAACAAGAATATGGACTTGCTAGTATCGGAACTATTTCTTGCAGGTTTATTTGCCAAAATTTCTTCAACGGCC